GAACGGATAGCAGGAAAGGTGCAGGATAGGGCCAGGGGCACCAAAGGATAGAGGATGGACTGGCCTCTAGATGGACCTACAATAGGATTCTAAATTAATTTTTTCTACCTGAAAGCCCAAAATTATATTAGTCATAAACCTTTGTGCATGGAAGGAGCAGTTTGCTTACTTTTGACCCGCTTTTGTTTTTACTTTTTGATTTGGTTTTATGATATAATTTTTTGAAACTCACAAATCAGAACATGACCAGGCCTGGGTGTCAGAACTGCTGTGTGTACGCATTACAGGCAGAGTCACCATCTTGGGGGTGTGTGAACTGTTTGATTTTACAAGGCCATGTCAAGTTTCGTTCCCAAGTTTTGTGCCAATTTGTTTCTAGCAGTGAATTCACATGGGCCCACACGCTCTTCCACTTCAGGTACCATTCTGTTTCTCAGTTTTTTACCAGTTGAATAGGCATCAGTGGGACCAAACTGTAGTTCTTTCCCAAGGTCTTCACAATTCTTTTCACCTTCACAGTTCTGCCACCAGCACAGGGGAGAGTGTCTGAGGATTTCTAATGTCTAAACACGAACTTCCAAACTTGGGCTGGAGTCTTTGATCAGTGTGGGCTCAGGGCCTCACATCCCTCGAGCTTGTGGCCTTCGCAGTCCTCTTTCTCTTCTGGCTTTTTGTCTTCTCCTGGTGTTATAAATGGTCCCTCTCTGTGGACCACTGTCCCCTTCTTCAACTCGAATAACTATTACCCTAAAAATGGGCCATAGCCTGTTCAAAGAGCAGGAAAAAAGGGCGCCAAGATCCACAGGATTCTCAAGTGCACCATGTGGGGAAATATTGATTTGTTCTGTTTCTTTTCTTTTTGCCACTTCCTTGCCCCTGCCTGTCTGGTCTCTGACCCTTCTACTCACCCCTTCACCTGGTTCCCAGCCCGGCCCAAGCAGGAATGGCATGGAGGGAGGGAGACACCAGGAGCGCATCCAGGCTGAGGTACCTGCAATGCCAGCAACCTGCCCCGATCCTCAGAAGCTCCCCTGGATGCTCCCTCCCCTGATCAGGAATAGAATCCTCCCTTCTCTCCCCATGGCTGCTTGCCAGGGCCCACTGCAAATGCTTTGGAGCCAGAGTGCCTCAGCTAGGAGCCACCACCAGATCACCTCAGTCCTACTCCAGAGCCCCCATTTTGGGCAACCTTGACTTCATCTTGCTGTCCCCACCTTGTCTTCTGACCTCCCACCCCCTGTCTTCTCATCCAAACCATCTTCAGCACACCCATGGTCTCCCTCAGCAGGTCTGAGCACAAAAGGCCTCCATCACTGTCTACAGAGGTGGCTGGCAGCAGCCCCAGGCACAGGGGTTCTGCTGGGTTGGCACAGAAGGCTCATTAGTCAGGCTGCCACTGCCATTTCCAAGTTCATTTCCTATTTCCACCTTTGGCTTCTTTCCCTGTCCCCACCCCCTTCATCAAGTCAAAGATGCTTCCTCCGTGTCCTCTTGATCAAAAGGAAATAAAAGCATTTAAACTCCAAGTTCATGATTCACATCCAGGGCCACGCTCTTTGTCCAGATTCTTACAATCCAACCTAACTGCTCTCCCAAATTCTCCCACAAAGGCCAAAAACTGGCACCTAGCAGGTGCCAGATAAATATTTGTTGAGTGAGTGAATGGGTTGTTTTCTTTCTCTTTCCAGGGAGCATGGTCCCTGGGGAGTTTCTCCTAAGCTCCTCCATATGTTAGGCCACTCCTCACACCTTCCTCTGATCAGCCAGCATCGAGTCTGCCAGCTGTCTCCCTCCACAGCTCACACTCCCTGATCTGAGAGTTTTCTCCCAGCTCATCCTGAGTTAGAGGAGTCTACAGAAATCCCGGTCCTTTTCCCTCTGTACTCAGGGAAGCAGGGTGGCCTGGCGGCAGGGCACACAGATTCTGCTGTCAAGGATGGGCTGGCCATGTAAGTAAGGATCAGCACTGCGACTCGAGTGCTACATTTGCATTCCCTTTCCCTGACATGCCTGCCTCCCGCTCCATCACTCCTCCTCTAAACCGAGCGTAATTGCTCAATCTAATTTAATAGACGTGCCGAATGGCTGTGAGTGGAGTGAACTCTGCTCAGCCTCCCCAGGGGCAGGCATGATGGGCATGTTTTGAGCCTCCCGCTTGCTGTGTGGGCCCCCAGCAGCCAGGAGGAGGCAGTTTGCACAGGGGCTGTGGCAGTGGCCTTTGAAAGGTTAAAACTGCCTCAACAGAGCCTCAGCGCTGGGATGTGTCTGGGATCACATCGGACCCCACTACCCCGAACAAGCCCCCCTAGCTGGGCCAGCCCAGCCAATCTCTAGCCCACTATCTTCTGGGAACCACCCTGCGCACTCCCCTGCTTCACTCTCATTGCTTGGGCCTTTGGATTGTTCTCGCAGAGACATTGATTGTTATTGTCCTAGCTTGCTTTTCCACCCCAGCACTGAGCCCTGCTGCTTGTGGCTGGTGGTGTTTCTTCTCCAAGCATCTCCAAACATCATCAAGAAATCTGTGCAGAGCTGACTTTCCCGAGGTCTGGCAGCTGGGTACAGAGGCACATTGCGAGCACACCACTGAAAAACTGCTCTTCAGAGTCCTTCAGGCAGTCCTCGAGGAACCCGAAGATCCCTGTATCTTTGTAGGTCCTCTTACTCCATCCTTCCCACCTCTGCACTACTGGATTCTGGTTCTGAAGCTCCAAGTCCTTCTCCTTGGTTTTGTAGAGAAATTTCGCTCTGTTTTTCCTTCTTACCTTATACTTGCCAGTTTATTTTGGTCATAAGCTAAACTGGGAGGAGAGCAGAGGATTTCATCTTCTTCAGTCTCCAAAGTGTTTTAAGGCCCTTTCTTGGACAAAGATGATTCTTCTATCAAGAGGAACTCTGTATCTGGTTCTTAAAACAGGTTGTTTTTCAACAATGACCATGACCTTTTATCTTTACTGTGCTGAATGGCCTGTGCAGCACCATCTGAGAAGATGTCCTGAACACCAGGGGATGTGGAGGAGGCTGGGACAAGTCCTTACAGGGCTCCAAATAGGGCAGGACAATGTGGGGGGGGCAGTTGCACAAAGAGCAAGCTGCTTAATCCAGGGCGATGAGCAAGGAATGCAGGGGGACGAAAATGCAGTGCATCCTGGCCGGTGAAGGGCCAGGTCCTGGGGAGGAGTCCCATGGCAGGTGAGCCTTGCTGAGGCAGAAGTGATTTACTGAATGAATGAATGCTGGAGGGAATTTCAAGGAGCAGGAACAGCACGGGCAAAGGCATGGCAACAAGAAAGAGCAGAATATGTTTGCAGAATGTCAAATCGATTGGGGTGACAGAGTAAATGGTGGGACGGGCCAAGGATGAGTTTGGGAAGGGCAGTAAGAGGCCTTGGTTCTCAGAGGTGCCTTAGAAATATTGGAATAGGGGCCGGGGATGTAGTACAGCAGCCCAAAGTCCTGCCTGACAAGCATGAGATTGTGAGTTTGATCCCTGGTACCAAAACAAACAAACAATAATGACAAAAACAAAACAAAGCAAAAGATCCAGGAAGAAGCTGGGGAATCTCTGGCTCATTTATCTGCCCAGTGAGACAGGAACTGTGGATTGCTGAGCCCATTTTGCATATGCCAAAGCAGAGTCTGTTTGTCTGGGTGGCTCAACTGATGCTTAGGTTACACTGGTCCCAAACAGGACTCTTTGGATTTTTAAAAAAAGGTTTCTTTTGCTTAATTAATTGATTATTTTGGCCAAATCTTTTAGCATCCTTGACTGGGCCACTTTCCCTTAGAAAGTAGAGTTCCCAGTTGCTCCTTGTTCACCCAGCAGTGCATCGAGCTGTCTGGACACTCAAGAATCCCTCCCTGCCACAGCAGAGAGCTCTGGCTGGCCTTAACGGCCAGCGGGGCACTTGTCTAATCTCCAAAGAAAGGCTGAGGAAAATGGATTATGGAGCAAAGAACCCTCTACAGCATGAGATTCACATCTGCTGATGGTCCAGGGGAGAAGCTGGGGAGGAAAGGCTTAATAACGTCAAGGACTCTGAGACCCCCAATCTCCCATTGCTTGTCCTCACTCCCCCAAATCCTTTCAAAGCTACACAGAAATGAAGGGGGCCACAGATTATGCCTCCAATGTTCCGAGAACTGAATGAGGGATTAGCTACTTAACGGCCATTGACTTTAATGACCCTGGGCTCAGAAATCTCCGAGCTCTCCACAGCTCTTGAGCACACGCTGCTTCCTTGCATGTACCATGTGTGCATGTGTGTACATGACAGAAGGGGCAGGTGCAGGCATAGGGCACTCTTATGTAGAGTCTGTGTGTACTTGGGAACACATATAAGTATAAGCATGTGTAAAGACTCGCCTGTGGGTCTGGTGTGTGCCAGGTGCCTCTCAGCCCGGGCTCTTCCTTACATCATACTTGTCTCTGCTGTGTCTCTCTTTATATAGGCATCTGCAGACTGGTGATTTGGTTGTGTGTGCATGTCTCAGGGTGCATGTGAAAGCTACATGCCTCTATGTATGAGTAGTGTGTATGGCTGGTTGCATACTTGTCCGTGTGTAGTATGTCTCACCATATATGTGTGCACGTACAGTCTGTGTTCATGTGAGCAATGACTCCCATCTTCAGAAGCCTTGATTGGCTCGATCTCTTGTTCCTCGAGGCCCCCACACATGTCTTCTCTGGGCCTCAAGCCCTCTTGGCCCTGTGCTCCCTCCTCCTCGACATCTGAGTGCGTATTCCCTGCTGTTTTTCCTCTTGTGTCCTATTATTTTCCTCCAATAGACTTGCTTCCAATTTTTATTATGTAATTATTTTTGTATTAAATTGTCTCTTCCTTGTCTCCACAACAATGAGCTCCATCATTCAGAGGCTCTGTCTCTTTATAGCCCTTGCCGTCATCTGTGCCTGGCTGTGTCTGGGGCATAGTAGGTTCTCTATAAGTATTCAGTGACTGTGTGAATCTATCCTCTGCCTGCCTCTGTGTGTACGTGTGTGTGTGTGTGTGTGTGTGTGTGTGTGTGTGTGTGTGTTTGCAAGTATTTAAAATGGTGTAAGCTTTTGTTCATTTGCTTGTTTTTGGCCCAGTTGGGGTTCCACAGGTCCTGGATGAAATCCAGAAAAAGGAAAACTGGCTGATTTCCAAAGTGGGGAAGACGGAACACTGCCCCAAAGCAAGAGGAACAAATGCCCCAACGACAGTCTTCTAACACCACTGAGGAAGGAAATGTGGAGACAGCCAGAGAGAGCAGCTTTGCAGCTGGGGTAAGTGTGGGGCCAGGCATGGGTTCCTTGGCTTTGAAGATCACATAGTTCTGAGACAGGACGGGTCATGTTAGTGCAGACCCAATGCCCTAATTGTGCTGGACACAATTGTAATGTTCTCATGGATGTTCACTTAGCAAATTTTATAGAGACCTGGGCTATGTCCAGAGCTGGGCACTGAGATGGGGCCTAGCAAGGTGCTCCCGGAAGTCATAAAGACTTCCCTTACTGTGGGCTCCAATACCCTTCCCACAGCTAGGCTATCTTGCTATTCTCTGAGCTTCAAGACAGCAGAGATCATGTCTAGCTTGTTCCTCTCTGTACCATCAGTGCCAACTGGAGCTTGAAGAATACGCATTAAATAAGAATGACTGAGTAAGCCAGGGATGTAGCTTGATGGCATAAGGGCCTGTCTGGTAAGCACAAGGTCCTGAGTTCAGTTTTCGGTACTTCCCCGACTCCCCCCCAAAAGAATGAATGAGTGAATAAATGATTACCACCAATACCACCCCATTTATACAGAAGAAGAACAACTTCAACTTCTGGACTGCCTTAGAGCTGATCAAGAACATCACTGTCCTCTGTCCTGTGGGCTCTCAACCCCCACCCACACGCGGTCTCATGAATCCTTTTCATCACTCACAGAAGTGGTGAAAGCAGAGAAGCAAAATAAAACCAGGCAAGGAAACAGCTAATAAGACAGACTGCAGCAGTAGAAAGCTATAAAAGCAAACATGGTCAACAGGCAGTATAAAAGCTAAATAAAGTCTGCTAATAAGACATGCATGGGGAAAGCAGCTGACATGGTTTAAGAACTGCTAATAGCCTAGCCAAGTGCCAGTGGGACTTGTGGGTGTCTGGTCTAGGGAGGACAGAGCATTCAAGGCAGGTCCCAGGAGTGCCCAGGTCACTGCAGCTTGGAGCTGAATCTCAAACAATGGACCTGAAGATCCCCTTTCCATGCCGACTGCTAAGTGAGAAAATGAAATAAGAAGAGCCAGGCAGGTGGGATGCTCAGTTTGGGGACGTTTCTTCTTTGCTTATAGATGGACTCTATGCAAAATGGCCTGTGACACATGTTCTTGTCCCATCGAGTTTAGCAGACCTGAGTTAATTATATTAACTACTGTTAATTTATTTATTAAGTATATGTTATGTGATGGACACAGGGCTGGACACTGCACACATGACTTCACTTACTCTGTGTGACAAGTCTGTTATTCCCATTTACAGATGAGGAAGCCAAAGCTCAGAGACTTTACTGGCTTAGTTCAAAATTCCATGAGTTACTGAGTGAAAGAAATTGTATTTGGGGAGCTAACTCAGAGCCTGTTTTTCTAACCCACATATTACACAGCAAACTTACATAGATTAGCATGTACAGGTCCCTTTTTGATACGTAGCAACATGCACACACATGATAATTTTGCCACTTTTCTCCAATTTTCAAATTTCTGTAAAACAAAAGGATTTGAGGTTTGATTATTGATTACTAAATTTTGGGGGCAACTCAAACCCTTTATTCCAGCAGAAGCTTAATGTGTGACATAAACACATTGGGAGCTGGTCTGACTGGCAAGTGGGCAAAGCCCAGCTCCTCTCCCTGCCCACTCACTGGTCTCAAGGAAGCCCTTGAGGTACCTCTAGGAAGAGACTGGAGAAAAACTGAAATAGAGGAACTCTACAGCTCTGTCAGCTTCATCTATGCAGTGAACACTTGTGGTGCCTCGGAAGGTAGAGAGTTTGGAGAATGGTTCTACAACCAGAAAGAGAAGAGATGAACTCACTTCCATTTATATAGGCAGAAATCAACTGAAACCACTGAGGCCCACCCAGAGGGCCTGCAAAGACCCTCTCTGGGAGGATGGCACTCCCAGCTGAGGATGTAGTCTGGGGTCTGGGCAGAAGCCCAGTCCTAGGTCCACTGCATGTGTGCTGAACTCACCAGCGTCCTCAGGTATGACTGGAAGCCCTGGGCTGGTTGCGAGCCTTTGTTTGGAGTCCTGATTTATGCAGCTTCTCACCACAAAACCATACATTAAGTTGCCAGGGAAGATTCAAAATTGTAAAATAATTGTGGTGGTGAAATTATTCAAAAATCCATCTAGGCCCAGCACATCAGGAAGGCGGTCAGATTTACACTGAGCACATGGTGACATAACTCAGGCTAAACAGATAAGCTTGTTATACTCCTGACAGAAGCAATTCCCCAGAGACTGCTGGGTAATGCCAGGCCAATTATATACCCGGCCCGAGGAAGGGAAGGCACGTCGCCATTGAGGGTGACATACAGTGACAAGGAGGGCAAGTCGTGCCTGCAGGGAAGTGTCTCTGGGACTCCTGAGCAAGCCCAGGAAGCCAGAAGTTGGGCATCAATGCTTTGGGGTAAGGAGACCACGTGGGCAGCCATTAGGCACTCAGAGGGGAACAAGGCTGGGCCCAGCTCCAAAGCCAGGCAGAGGATCAGCAGGAAAGCATCCTATCAACTACTGCACCAAGTCTACCGAGGAAGAAACCAAGTCCTTCCAATGACAAGATGGATCCTGCCCCTTGGGCAGCTGCACACACACAGGCAGGTCAGGTGCCAGGTGACAGGTGCATGCACAGCCAGGGTTTTGTCAATATCTCCCTCCCCAGGCTGCACTAGAATATTTTATTTTTGCTAGTTTAAGTTGTATATGCTTATGGAACATCTTACCAAGGGGATTTTTCTACTCACCACAACGGTTTTCTCACTCTTATTGAAAAAAGTTGGTCAAAGCCACGCATGGTAGCACACATCTGTAATCCTGGTACTTGGGAGGCTGAGGTAGGAAGATTATCTCAAGTTCAAGACTAGCCTGGGTTATACAGTAAGCTCAAGGCCAGTCTGAGCTACTAACATTGTTTAATTTTGTGCCAATAATTTTATAAACATTATTTCAGCTGAATCCTTTAAAGTCATGTTTCTCAAACTTTCAGATTCCCTTGAAGGTTTTTTAAGCCCCAGCCTCAGAGTTTCTGATGTGTATGTTTCAGGTGGGATGAGAATGTTCATCGCTTTCTCGTTCCCAGGTAAGGCTGATGTTCCTGACCTGGTGACCACTGTTTAGAGAACATGGTCCTAACGAAAAATAGATCCAATGAAACTTAAGATGCAGTTATATCTTTATTCTGCAGCCAGCTACATAAATTCAGATCTAGAATTCCTCTATTTTCTGAATGGGTGACCTTAAACACGTTGCTTAACTGCTCTGTGCTTCAGTCTTCTGTGAAATGGACAAATAATAGTATCTCTTGAAATGATTTCCATGATCAAATTAATACAGGTAAAGCTCTTAGAGGAGTGTCTAGTAACAGGGAACACTTGACAATTGTAAGCTAGCATAGTTTTTAATTGCTCATGTTCATACTGGTAGTAAGGAGAGGCTATATCTAGCTTCTGCTAACTTTGCATTGTCAGTGCCTTATGGTGTGTTACTAACATCTCTTCTCTTGATTGCAAAGCTGTAACTAGCACACTGGTTAAGCTGGAGTTAGGGGCCCTGTGGCAAGAAGCTGCAGCCAGGGGATGAGGTAAGAGCATTAGTCTCAGAGTTAGAAGCTCCAGGCTTGAGTTTGGACACTGCTGCTGTTGGCCTGGAGATGCTGGGGAGCCAGTTTTCCCTTCTGAGTCTGATTACTCTCTGTTGGGAGAAATAAGGCCTAGCTTCTCACTTCCAGGGCTGCTGGCATGTGGAGAACCACGGGGTTGTTGAGTGCCTCGAGATCTTTGAAAGCATCATCTGATCTACAGCCAAAATTGGAGAAGGTTGGAGGGAAGGAGAGTCTGAATCACAGGATGTTTATCTTGCAGGTTTGACCAAGGTCAGCATGAGAAAGAGTAGAGTGAGACAATTTGGAAGCAAGAATTAAAGTTCAATGGTTGTCGCATACTGTGCCAGCACCTGGCTACCCACACACCTGGAGGCCATGATGTTAATCACAGGACTCTGCTGGATATAGCTGCCTGCTGCAGTTTAGTGCCTGACTTTAGAGTAGGTGGCACCAGGGAACCCAAGGTATCCAGTCTGACTCTGGTCTCAAGAGCAGGACAAGGAATGGAGAGGCCATGGATAAAGGAAGCTATGGGAGAGGCCATGGATAAAGGAAGCTTTGGCTCTGCAGAGAGCCAAAGCCACATGTACCATGAGGTTGTGAGCACACAAAATTGTCATGCATTTGAGTCATCTAGAGATCTGCTGGTGATACACAGGTCTTGAGGGGACCTTATTGCTGCCACTGCTGCTGGAGGAGCTTCACTTTGCACAGCAAAGACCCACCTTTGGGTGTACAGAGGCTGGTTGGTGGTGGAGGACAATGCAGAAGCTTAGAGAGACGAGGACCAAGACCATGGCATGCCCTGGAAGCAGCCTTCTCCACAGCCAAAGATCCCAAATCCTGCCAGTTCCTAGCCACCAGCATCTTTGTGCCGAAGGAAACCGGAAGTGGTCTCTGTTGCTGGTCTGAGAAGGTTGATGATGTTTCCAGTGGCCTGGACTCAACTGCCCTTCATAGTTCCAGAACAGTTTTAGTCTTTCTTTGTTGCACTAAGGATCCATGCAGGCCCCATGCAAGGCTGAGTGACAAGAAGTGGGCAACATAACGGGATGTTAGGTGTCACATACCTTCATCCCTCCATTACTTCATCATTTCTGTATTTGTTAGATGCCTGCTCTACTTCAGATCCCTGGAGAGAGTGGGTACAAGATGTGCCATGGCACCTCATAGCCTCTGTCCCTGCATTTGGGTGCTTGTATTCCCAATGGGTGACCTTTCCCACCCCAGCAATGGAGCTAGGCTGAAACAGATTCTGAGCACCATGCTGAGGAATTGCTGCTTGGCTCCAAACCTCAGTGCTGCTAAACAGCCCTGATAGAAGGCACAGTCAAACAGTTATGCTGAAATCTTGTACTTTAATTTTAAAAATGCATCTATCTTTTGTATTCTACCCTTCAATATTGCCATGTTTGTTTACATATGAAGGTAATAACAGGTTTTTTTTCTGAATCATCTGAATTTGAAGATTCAGAAAAAATAATGCAGCAGGCACCTGGAAGCCTAATATCATGTCTGCCTGGGGCTCTGTATCTCCTGGCTCAGCTCTGAACACTGCAAACACCTGGAGCCCAGGAGCCTTTGATTGAGCTGTGTTCCTCCCTGGGATGCTTTGCTTGGCCGGGCTCCTTGGAGGGGTGGTGCTGGGCCACCCACGAGCAGGCCCTGTCCCTTCCACACAGGGAAGATGCATCAACCTCACCTCTACTGTGGCTCCTGTTCGTGGGGAGATTTTACATCAAGTGCTTTTCATCTAGAATTGGAAGCTTTAATATGTTTTACAGGAAGACCTTTTATGTGCCAATAAAAAAACGAGCGATTATAGCAGGCGATGAAAAGCAGCTAGCACCTCGGAGACATTGTATGTTTAGAAAAAGCGGGTATGTTTCCCCAGAGAATGACGTGATCAGTCCTTTCTTGTTCATTATGGAATCAAGTGTAGAAGACCTTTTGGTAAAGAAATGTAGGGCTTTTCACAATCACTACACAAACACACTCACATGGGAGAGAAAGAGAGAGAGAGTTGGAGTGACACAAAGAAGAAATGGAGAGGGAGGTTAGAAGGGAGGGAGAGCATCTGATAATCCTCTCTGTCTCCTCTAAGTTGATACCTGCCTTTCTTCTCTGTAAATAGACAATGGAGCTATGGACCTGAGTCAAGCGCAGTAAGCCTTGACTACTTAACTTGGCATGCAATTATCCTTGTCTGTAGACAACAAAACCCCTCACCATTTCCAGAATCAGCATAAGCCAGGGTGGAAGGAACTTGAGAGGTCATCCCTCACCCATCCTGGGGGCACAGTAGCAATCTCACATGTCCCTAAGAAGGCAGGTTGAAGTCCAGGACAGCACTATTGGGTGGGTCCCTATTCCCTATCCTGGGATCAGGAAGAGAGGAGAGGAGGGAGAATCTGGAGTTTGTCTATAAAACCAGATTCATGTTAAACATAGAGCCGTGGTCTTCAGGCCCTTATGCTGCCCTGAACACAAAAGGAACTGCAAAAGTAGAGAGCTCCATGATGTCCAAGAAGGTATGCACTGGTCTCAACTGCTTAGCTGGCCTGGCATAGGGTTAAATGAAAGACCAGGGTAGACTTGAATTCCACAGGGCCTAGGGTACATTTGACATTGAACTTCAGTGCCAGCATAGAGTCAAGTTGAGGGGAGGCTCAGACAGAGGTGGACAAGTGTGGACTTTGAACCATCATCCTGATTTTGCTATTCACTGTGTATGACCTAAAGCTGGTACCTCCATACTGGGGGTGACTTTGCTTCCCACCCCCCGTTTGGCAATATCTGAAGACACAACTGAGGAGTGCACAGGGCCCCCACTCACTACTGGCATGTAGGAGGAGAGCCCAGCATGCTGCCACACATGCTACCTACCGTGCACTCAGCTGGCATCACAAAAATAAACATGGCCCACGTGTTGAAGCAGCAAGGTAGAAAAACTGTCATAATAAAAGTACTGTGCCTCGGTTTTCTCATCTATAAAATAAAGAGGGTAGTAATTGCATCCTGCATGCAGGGCTATGGTGAAACTTTCTGAACTGGTGCATAGCAAGTGTTCAGAACAGGTCCTGATCCAAAATACACACTGTAAATAGATGCTTCTAATGCTAGCATTCTCATCCAAGACAGCAGAAGCACCCAGGACTAAGGAGGAGGCTCAGCAGGTCTGTGGGACAACGGAATGTGAATGTCAAGACCAGTGGTAGGGCCAAGGCTGAGTTAAATTCTGTGCCCTGGAGTTGAGAAATCAGAGGAGGAGGGGAAAAGCAAAGAGGAAGTGGACTGAGAGCAGAGGGTCCTGAGCAACTTCTGCAAGCCCTGGCTGGTATTGGCGGGCTCCTTTTTGCAGGACAGGCAGCCAAGGAGCTGGTGAGTGGGAGGAGCCCACCCTGACCCCATTGCTGCCCCATGCACTCATACTCCCCCCTCTCCACTGCCCCAGGAAGCTGCTGTGGGCTCAAGAGGATGGTATTCTCTAAGACTAGGAAGAACATGGGGACCAGAAGCAGCCCATGCTGAGTTCCAGGGGCACACACATTATGTTGTGTGCTATAACTGTGAATTGTGTCCCCCAAAGGTACATCCACCTGGAACCCTGGAATGTGAATATTTGGACTAAGCATCTTCACAGATGCAACTGAGGCAATGATCTGGAGATAAGACCATCATCCTAGGTGGTGCCTGAATTCAACAACAGTGGTCCTTATAAGAGACACGGAAGAAGAAGACACAGAGAGGGAAAGCCTAGGGGATACCGAGGCAGGGACTGGAGTCACGCAGGATTGCCAGTGGCCACCAAAGACAAGGAGAGACCCATGTATAGATTTCTCCTCCAAGCCACCAGAAGGAACCAACCCTCCTGGCACTTTGATTTTGTTCTCCAGAACTGTAGAGAATAGATTTCTGTGGTAAATGACCAGTTTGTGATGGCAGCCCTAAGAAACAAATACAGGCTGAGTACCACTAGTCTGAAAATCTAATATCTAAAATACTGTGGTGAAATCTGTGCAAATGTTCCAAAGTCTGAAAATAAAAACAATATCTGAAAGCCTTTCAAATACAATTCCCAAGTCAGAATGGGATAGAAGTCAAAAGGCACCGTCCGACAGAGAGCTGGACAGGGAACAGGGCTTGGCCCCAGCTCAGGGACTCCTTGCAAGGACTGGGGCAAAGCTTTCAATGTCTTGTTCTCAGATACTCCCCCATAAGAGAGGGACCTTTTCTTCCAAATCCCAGAACACTCCACACTTGGCAAGAGAGAAGTCTCTGGACCAGATAACAAGGCCACTGGATGGTTAGATTGAAGCAGTGTAAACAACTAACTGTGTGGGAAGAAAAGAAGAAAAGGAAGAAAAACTGAAATACAATTGAAGCTTTATTAATTGTCCGAGCTATTTAGCAGTAGGAGTTGAAAAGAAAGTACTTAGCCCTTGAAGGAAGGAATGGAAAGCCGGGTCTTTCATTAATCTCACTGCCCTCTGTGTCAAACGCCCATTGTCAGGGTGGGCACAAAGCCTGCCACAGTCTGCAGCAGAAATCTAAGATCCAGGCAATTGGGAGTGCACAGGCCCGGGAGAGAAGGGTTCAATATGGAAAGTGTTTTCTGCACAGCCAGGGGTGCCCATTTCCAGTCCTTTTCAATTTGTACACTTTTCCTCCGATGACTCCTTGAGGGTAATTACAGTTCTTTTCACAAATGAAGTATGGAAGATGGGAGAGAGGCGAGGCTGTCAATAGTTCTGCAGGAATGTGTGGTCTGTCTCCGGGAGACATAGAAAGCATCGATTCTCCTTCCTGTGGGATTCAGAGCGTGAATGGAAGATCCTCCTGCAGGGAAGCTGGGGGACATCCTCTCTGCTGCCAGAAGAGCCTTGGTGACCAAGGACAGGAGGCTCTGAGCCCCAGGGAGCCACCAGATAATAGAGGCCCCCAGCCGCACAAGCGCTGGAAGACTTACCAGCTTGTGTATTTTTGTATTCTCCTTCTTTGGATGAATGATCAAGGGTCCCAGCCACATACTCCTGGGACCAAGAAGCTGAGATTTCTAGGTGACTTTGGGCAGGGTCAAAGGCACCTGCTTGCAGGCAGGACAATACACAGCTTCAGGAGGCTGAGGAGTTGTTGTCAAGGAGCTGGGATCAAACAGACATCCTTAGGCTGAACCAAGAGGCTGAGATTTACACGATGAAATGTCATAAATATAAATGTGCAAGTTTGCCCTTGGGTCCCAAACCCAACTGCTGGCTGACAGCAGCCCTTGTCTCACAGCTGTCAGGCTCTGAGTGGAGAGTGAGCTCAACAGCAGAGAGTGAGCTCAGTATCAGTCAGTGCTGTACCACCAATGACAGTGACTGTGTGCCACAGAGCTCTCCACACCAGGCACCGACTCAGGCTTTCCAGCAAAGTTCCATTGTATTTTCACAATGACCCTAAAAAGACTATCTTTTTATTGTCCTTATTTGCACATGAGAGAGTATTTGCATTAAGACTGAGAGTATTCAATTGACTTTTCCTGGGTTCATACCCAGGAAGTGGCAGACACAAGGTTGAAAGACAGATGCACTGTAGAACTCCTATTCTTAACCACTGCTCCAAGCTGCAAAAGATTATAAAACATATCTGCTTCCACAGAGCACCTTTCTTAAAGGAGAGACCGTGTGTTCTGCCCTGAGCTCTGGTCACAGCACAAGACACAGCAGGCTCAGCCTGGGTAACCTACTTCCAGAAGGACAGCATCAGTTGAGGGCAGAAAGGTAAAGGGTCCAGCATATATAGAACCCACCCACCTATATGCCCAGTCCTTCACTCCCACTGGGTAGGCCTGGCCAGTGATGTGGGGACTCTGCTCTCCGTATCTCCCCTGTGCCTTGTTCAGAGGCCCCACCCAGTACCCCAGTATTGATGCCTTATTGGCTACAGAGATGGATCATCACATGGACCCCATTCCTGCCAACACCATCAGCTTCCTTGTCCCTTTTTTCCCCCATCCATTCAACAAAATCCATGTCTGGTTTAATCCAACTGTTTTTATTTATGTATTTTCCTGCATAGGCACTGGGGTTTCTTAGGGGAGCAGGAATGAAAATATTATACTGTAGACAATTCATGGTCTCCATTCTGGACTGGACCCCTAGTTTGGCCAGCATGGCTTTCCACACATCAGCTTTATCTTTGTCGATGTCCCTGAACTGGCTTTTCAGCCCTTGTCCCCTCTCTCCAAATCTCTCATTCCATCTTTTACTGTACTCCTCAGTCTCAGCATATGATTCCTCCCCTGCCTGAGAGAAAAGGCCCAGTTGCAGGGATGGGAAGTAGTTTGTCGACTTATTGCCCAAAACTTTTGAAACCACTTTATGACTTGTCATTTGCATACCATAAAATTTGCTCATCTGTAGTGTACAATTCAGTGATTTTTAGTGTATTGACAGAGGTGTACAACCGTTGCCACAGTCAATCTTCAAACATTCCCATCACTTTAGACAGAAAGCCGCCCACTTGCAGTCACCCTCATTCCCACTCAAAGGCCCAGGCAAGCACTAATCTATTCTGTCTCTGGAGATTTACCTTTTCTGGACATTTCATATAACTGGAATAGCACAATATGCAGTCCTGTGTGTATACTTCTTTCATTTAGCAGAATGATTTTGAAGTTCCTCCAAGTAGCCCATATCAATAGTTGCTTTCTTTTTATTGTGGGATTGGATGGTTATAACACATTCAGCCTATGTATTCACCAGCTGATAGACATTTGGGTTGTTTCCACATTTTGGCTGTGATGAATAATATCCACCATTACATTTGTGTATGAGTCTCGGTGTGACATAAATTTCCCTTTCTCTCAGGTAGATACCTAGGATGTCTCTCCAATCTTACAAGCTAATCTATGTCCCATCTAGTGTTGATGGTTAAGTGTTTCTCCCCTTAGCTTTCTTTACTTGTGCTCTGAATTCTCCCCTTCTTTGTTGCTCTGGAAGTCTTGCTCCATCAGCCATCCCTTCCCTCCCTTTCATTACCAGCTCCTTCCTAAATAACATGGGGGGGGGGATAATAAGACCTCACACATAATGTGACCATTAATTGAGTTACATATGTTTAAGCAGCCTAAGAAGTCCCAATGACTCCATTTCTTGCTGCTCGGGTCTTTTTGTAATCCTTTCCCCTTGAGTGTGGGTGAGACCTGTGTCATGCTTCTAACCAAAGGTACGGAGATGTCACCCCACAATTGTGCCAGTGACAGAAGACTCCATTTTAGCAGCTTGGAGATACGCTCCTTCCTAGATGAAGTACATGAACACATTCGTGCTGTGCATCCTGGCCTTGCTACGGACCGCAGGTGCCCAGCAGGAACTTCAACTGGCCTGTAGGATTTGTGGTTGATTTTTTGAGCTGTAGGGAAGCTCTGGCAACCAGCCAGCAAGAAGCCAGAGCCTTCCATGCTATAACTTCAAGGAAGTGAGCTTTGCCAATAATTTGAGTGAGCTGAAAAGTAAATTTGCTCCCATGGAGGCTCCAAATGAGAAGCCAGCCCCACAGGCACTGTGACCGTAGCCTGTGAGACCCTAACGCAGCGGGTCCCAGTGAGTTGTGTCACTGCCCACTGAAATGTGAGAGAATGGATGTGCACTGTTCTAAGCTACTAAGTTGGTAGTAATTTGTTACACAGTAATAGAAAATGAACACACATAGGAATAGCTTAGAAGAAAGCTGGCATGACCAGCAGCCTGTGACTGCTAGCTGCTGCTGGTGGTGGTCGCAGCTCAGCTCCTTCCCTGAGGTTATACAAGCAAAACCCAGCTCAAAAAATTGACAGAAATGGCAGATCCTCTTTACTTTCCACTCCTGACAAATATCTTCCAAGTGTTCTCTGTATTTACTTCTTGCCCTTCAGTTCATTCACATTTTGCTGCAATTTAATTCCTCAGGCTCCTCGATTCCAGTGAAGCTGTTCTGAAAGTCACCGATCACCCCTCGTTACTAAATCTGATGGATGGTACAGATCTTCCTGCACTTGACTTCTCTGTGACCTTTGATGTTGATGATGGAGCATCTTAGTTTTGCTCATAGGAGATTCCTGTTGAATCTAAGCCTCTGCCAGGAGGACCTGAGAGTGATCAGACCCTCACAGGCTGATTTCTGGTCATTTTCACTCATTTGTCTGCCCAGTCCCAGGCTTGCACATTTCTGGAGAATGCAGATGTAACCCAAAAGCCCTCAGTCCCTGCTTTCAGCGAAGATTCCATTCTAGGTACAGCAGTAGATAAAAATAAGACAATGAATCAACAATGAGATTTCAAAATGACCCATATTTTAAAGATAATAAGGCAGAATGAAGTGACAGGAAATGCTACACAAAGGTGTTGAACTGGGCCAGGAGGTTGGAGAAGGCTTTCTCTAGAGAGGTGGCTTTTGAGCTGGAGTCCCAGCCATGGAAAGATCTGGGAATGGTCATTACAATGACCAGGGAGCAGCCAATGCAAAGGCTATCAAGTGAAAAAATTCTGAGTGTGGCTGGAGCAGATTTGATGAAGCAGACAAGTAGGAAGATACAAGGTCAGAGACATAGCTGGAGCAGACCATGCAGGGACTGCAGACTGTGCTGGGGAGTATAGATTTTATTCCAAGATCAACAGTAAAGCAGTAGAGGGTTAAAGCAGAGAAGTCATTGATCTGATTTTTGTTTTATGAGGCTCACTCTGGCTGCTAGACAGAGAATAGATAATTTTGCAAAGGCAAATCAGGGAGACTGGTTGGACAGCCATTGTAGTGGTGTGAGGGAGAAATCAAGGTGGCTTTGATTAGGGATGTAGGTCAGGAGTCCCAAGAGATGGGCTCTGAACTTCTATGACTTTTGTGCAAATAATTTACTGGAGAGTACCCTCCAGGGCAATGCCTATAGGAAGTAAGGAGCACAAGATTGGGCAGAAAGAGTAAAGTGTGACCACTTTGCAAAAGAGCCCTCAGCCCACCCCCCAGGGAAGCCCCACAGCTGGGAGAGCTGCTGAGAGATGTTCCACATCAGGAGACAAGACCCAGCTTCCATCCTACAGTTCCATCAGTCACTGGATATGGGGAGCAGGTGTGGGATGGGGCAGAACCCCAGGTATGGAAGTTCCTTATCTAAGAGGGAGTCTGGAGAAGGACCCAGCATGTGGGGTTGGGAGCAGGTATGTATGAAAATGCCAGCACAGCAGTGTCCACCACCAGGAATGGCATTGGGAACTGGGAGCATCAGATGGCCAGAATATAACTTCCATGTAGAACTTGTAGCTGGCCTGGTTGTTGAAGAGGAGAGCATGAGAGGAATCAGACAACTCTGGGGTCCTCTGAATGGAGGTGCCATCTCCTGAGATGGAGCAACCTAGGGGAGGAAATTCAGAGTTCAGTTTTTCCCATGTACTTTCCAAGAGACCAAGAGACACCCACAGAAACTGTCAACTGTGCCAGACAGCAGGTGACTCTGGGACTAAGGGAAGGTCAAGGTTGAAGGCACAACCTGGGGGGCTGTGAATTCTCTCACCGACTGAGGATGAGCAGTCTGCAGAGACTTAGAACAGAGGCCTAAAAAAGGGAGAGAGCCATGGAAAGAGGGCATTCCAGGAGCCAAGAGAGGAGCTTCCTGAAGTAAGACTGGGGCTGGGTGTAGCTCTGTGGTGGAGTGATTGGTTAGTGTACTTATGACTCTCAGTTTGATCCTTAGCCTCTGTGATATAAATAGATAACACACAAACAAACAAGAGGGAAGGGTCACCAGGTTGAGTGCCAATGAGAAGCGACTGTTGCATCTAACAAAATGAGGATCATGCGAAGTGTGGATGGAGCGGTGAGAATACAACCTGGGTGGAACAGGTAGAGGAGAACCCATGATGGAGAAATGGTTTGGTAACTGAAGACAATTATTTGATATGCCTTGTTGTACACAGCAAGAAAATGGAACAATAACTACAGGTGGATGTCAGGTCTATGAAGTTTTAAAGGAGCCTACGCATTTGCAGTTGTGGCTGGTCTGGTGGAGGGGTGGGGAGGGTGACACAGTCTTGAGATGGTGAGCTGGAGGTGCAAGGTGTGAACAGTGGCTTTGGCCATTGAGTAGGGGAAGAATTGCCTCCATTAAACTGGTAATCAGATAGCAGTGGATTAGTAGATTTGGTGACGCAAACGAGAAGGATTCATTTTGTCAATACAGTGCAGGCGAGGAGTGTGTGGGGCATTTGCTGAACAGTCAGAGGTGGATATCAAAAGTCCAAATTCTTAGCTTGTGTTGGGAAAGGCCAGGTTCACACCCTGGCATCTTAGGCGGGTAACTACATGAGGGCCGGGAGGCTGCTGGGTGGACACACTCAGGTGATGGAGGCTGGTGAGCGTGGGAACTGGCAGCCACCCGCAGCTGCTACATCCTTGCCTCTTGGCCTTGAGATGGTCTTGCCTTGGGGTCAAAAACTGAAAGTTTTATAACTTGAGGCCTCTGTGTCTTCCCTAAGAACAGACTTTTCAGAAACCAAAGGCTATGGTTTCCTCTCTTCTAGACACCCCTGGGACAGAATCTGTCCTTCTTTTCTTTGGAAACTTGTTTATTCTGCTCTATGGCCAACCCCTTTCTGACCCACACTTCCATATGTTAGATTTCATAGGCTTTAAAAAATAGCCTGCTGTCCAGTAATCCTGGCCTCCAAACTAGCTTTCACTTTTCAGTGACCTACCAGATCTCTGTGCTGGTCCATTGATTTCCATCGACTCTCAGAGGTTTATAGATTTCCTCATTCCCAGGACCTGCATTGCTACTGTCATGAAGCAGAAGCTGCTCTCTTTATTTTCTCCTTGTCCTGTCCTCTGTGTCTCTCTTTCCTCATCTCCCTCCTCCCTTTGAGACCAAGCCTTCCCTCAGCTGGCTTCCAGCTTCCAGTCTCTTTGTAAACCCTCTTCCCTGATCCCCTTGGCTGCTGCCTGATGAATTCCAAATCATGACCACTCATCAGAGCCCTTGTGATCTCCATGTAATCTTCGTCACAAGTCTGGGGTCATCCTTATGATGATCCCCTTCCTGACCCTCTCACCCCTTCAGGATTGTGTTCAAATGTAGCATTTTTTTACTTTGCTTTTTGTTTGTTTGTTTTGGGTACCAGGGATCGAACTCACAACCTCACACTTGCCAGACAGGTGCTTATGCCACTGAACTAAATCCCCAGCCAAACGTAGCATCTTGTAATATTCACTTTTATTTTTTAGGACAGTTTTAGGTAATTTCCATATGTCCCTGGCCCCACACATGCACAACCTCTTGCACTGTCACCATTTTCCATCAGAGGGACATGTTTGTTATACTTGATGAACCCACACTGACCTGTCATTGTTACCTGAGATCCGTAATTTACATTCACTGTTGGTGTTAGACATTCTGTGGGTTTGAACAAATGTATAATGACATGCTTGCCTTATTGTGATGCCTTGCAGAATAATTTCCCTTCCCTCAGAGTCCCCTGTGCTCTGCCTATTCACCCCTTCCTTCTTCTTCCTGGAAACTATGACTTTTTCTTACCATTTCTATAGTTTTGACCTTTTAGAATATACAGTAGTTGGATCAAACAGCCTGTAGCATTTTCAGACTGGCTCCTTTCACCTAGTAATATGCATGGAAGTGTCTCCATGTTTTTTGGCTGGTAGCTCATTTTTTTCCAGCACTGAATAATTTTCTATTGTACAGATACACCACACCTGATTTGCCCATTCACTTCCTGAAGGACAGACATGCAAATTGAAAGGTACAAAATCATTCACCAGTGTGCATATCTGTCTCCTTCTATTAGAGAGTAACCCCTCAAGGTCATAAGTGACCAAGTTTTTGGGACCCCAGGATGCAGAAAAATATCTGATTTGCAATAAAGGCCTACTAAATACATAAGAGAGTGAATGGACAAGTGAATGAAGAGTATGTCAGTGGTAGCTAATGCTTCCTTTGTTCAAAGATAAATGAAACGTCTCCTAACCCTTGGTGATCCCCATATCGACCAAGGTACTCTAGACTTTCTTCTTCATAGAGGGAGCTGGGAAAAAAACTCTGGTGATTTCCTGGATTCTTCTTCTTCCTTCACCACACATATTGAACGACTCCCCAGGTTCTATTGATTTGACTCTTGACTATTCCGATTGGCTCCCTCTTTTCCATACCTTTACTACCGCTGAATTGCAGATCTTAATTGTTTCTCCCCTGAATTATTTCAACAGCACTCCTTGTTCCCTTCTGACTCCCTCCAGGGCTGCCTGAGTGGTCTTCCTAAACTGTCCTCTCACCTATTTAAAATTCTGAATGGCCCCCTCCCTTTGGGATTACAATGGAGTGCCTTACAAAGGCATTTCGAGGCTACTCATGATCCAGGCCCTGAGATGGCATATGGGAAGTTCTCAGTGCAGGTGCCTAAAACAAAAAAAGTGCAATGAATACTCACATTCTTACAATGACTACCATGTGGCCTGGAGAGAAGAAGAGTCTGTCTGGACACGAGAATTGTTGCCAAGTACCTTGTGGTCGGGCATATGAAATGTGCATCCAATCCCTCCATCTCAACTCAAGAGACAAAATGGGATGAACAGGAGGAGACTGCAGAGAGTACACTTCTTTCAGTGGCCGGGAGCCATGTGTGATGCGTAGAGTTATCCAAGAACCCAAAGGGAGTGAGCACCCCATGAGTGGAGAAGTGCTATCTGAACAGCACTTAAATCCTAAGTTGCCCACTTGCTCTCCAAAGCCCACAGAGTTTCTAAGAGTATTCAAGCATTAGAGCTCATGCGAGGAGTCAAGCGGTCCCATAGCCCCAGGTTCTGTAGAGGGAATGCTGCTGAAGGTATGACTGACCTGTTATGTCAGCCACCAACAGGTGGCTGCTTTTCATACCCGTGCCATCCCCCACACTTCCACTGCCACCACTCCTTGCCTCCGCCCACTGATGTGTCTTCCTGGCCTCCTCCATCCTCTGCCATTCCTCTTCTCAGAAACCTCCAAACCCCTCAGGTCCCATGCCATTTCCTCCATGAACTGCATGAACTTAGGGGTGAGACAGCGGCAGATACAAGTATCAGCCCTGCTACTGACTCTCTGATCAAACTTTGGTAAATCACTTACCTTCTTAGGGCCTCAGTGTCCTTATCTGCTTATTGAGGTGGTCGTGCTGCCTTGAAGTAAAAACCAAGAGGACAAAATGAGAGCAGTGGAAAATTCAGGAGGGGGCTGAACCCATTGTGGCCTCCAGACCCCACAGTGCTGGCACCTTGTCCCAGTCCTCCTTGGCCCACCCTGCCTCACCGCTGCACAATCAATCTACCTGCTGGTCCGGGGTGCACAGGACATCTGTCAAGGCCACACCAATCTTTACTGGATTTGATACTTTTCATACACCTCCTCATCCTTCTGGAGGCAGCCAGACCCTGTTTCTTCCAAGAGCCTTTCTTTGCAGGTCTCTGCCAGAATGATCTGATCTGTTCCCTTCTGCGGCATTCTGTGCCTATCTTCATGGAGATCCTGCTTCTTGGAGTTTGTTTTGAGCCCGGTACCTCTTCTCTGCACTCTTTCCATCTGCCCACAAGAGGTGTCCTGGAAGACAAATGAGTGGGTCTCGGGATGTTCTAGCAGTTTGGAAGTGAAGGAGTCTCAGTAAATGCTGACTTTATAAGCAGATGGGAAGAAAAGAAATGCAATCTAGTAAAGCCAGCAGCCCAGAAGCCCCAAGGCTGCTGGGCTTCAGAAGGGCAACTGCAGTCTTCCATCTCCAGAACTTCCCCCATAAAGCATCTTTTTCATTGTTCTTCTCATTGAAAATATCCAGAGAGGAAGGAAAGGCCTTACAACCTTCTCCGGCCAGGTACCTCCCACCCTGCAGATGGAAGCTCGGCTGCTTCTCTCTCTGGAAGAAGCCAGCCTCCTGCACCAGAGAGGAGGGATCTGGGAGCTGTGTGTCCTGTTGGCTTCTGAGAAGATTGAGGATGGAGTGGGAGGTGGGGTGACAAGTCCTAGGCTCACCCAGAAAGCCTGAAACAGCCCAGGCAAGACCAAGAGGATGGCCAGGGCCATGGCTACCCAAGAAGCTGGCCCCCAACACAGTCTGGCTTGGCTCAAGTGGTCGAGAAAAAGAACACTGAGCATGCTGCTGATGGGTACGGGATTCACGGGCCAGTTCAACACAGATGTGCACACATGTGCATAGGAACACACACACCAACATACACATCAGTGATGAGCTCGGCTTCTGGCTCCCTTCTTCCCTATGGGATGGGGGAACCCAGACTTCCAGGGGCCCCAGTCTGGCCTGAAGCAGAGAGAGGCAGACTGTGAACTGGGCTATTGTTTATTCATGCCCAGTGAAGGGGTGGTGATCTGAAGCCCTTCCTGCTCCCCATTTTCATTTTAATGAAATGAAGTCACCCCCAGCCCCCACCCCAAATCTTCCCGAGGTAACAGTGAAATTGATTTTCCCTTTTAACTCGAAAGCAAGATAAACACATGGCACCCTTAGGGGCGGAGGGGAGGCACTTAAAATAGCACAGCTCTGGAGCAAGCTGCTGCGCGGCGGGGCACGCAGCATTCGTCACAGACTCACAGACGAAGGCTGAATGCAAATCACAGAGCAAGCCGCAGCTGCCCCCTCCCACCCCAAACAGGTGAGAGGCAGCACCTTGGCCCCCTGTGCCCTCTGCCTGCCATCAAGTGCAAGAGCACCCACAGCTGACCCCATCCTCAAGCTCTGAGCCAGGAGGGTCTTTCTGAACCATCCACACCTGTGCTCACTGCCCCAGGCAGCCAGGCAGCCCTCCTCTCACAACCAGCCACACTTGTGGGCCCAGCAGTCACCTCACGGAGGGAGGTCCATCCTGAGTCTGTACCTGCCTCCCCAACTCCTTGCGCTCAGTCCTTCTGCCTCCCCAGGGACTCTTGTCTCTTGCCTGACCCCCAGAACCCTCATCCATTCCACAGAGGGTCCTGTCCCTGTGCAGACAGGCTCGCTCCCTCCCACCTTTGTCCAGATTGCAACTGGAGAAAACCTGAGGGTGTCCCAAAAGGATGAAGCGGAGGAAGAGGAAGAGGGGCTGAGGTGGGCAGGAGGGGCACAGACACTGACTGGATGCTGGTTCTGCACCGCACTTGCGACCAGAGTTTGTGCCTCTTCCCACGCACAGATTGAGGGGGACTGAGGGACAGTGGGCCTGCTCTGGTTGAGGGACTGTGATTCCCAGGGTACAAATGGAAACCTGTATCACAGGCATTTCAACCCTTGCCCAGGGTCACGAAGGTGTGAAGATGCCCCCAAGCACTACCTTGTTTTCCCAAGGAATCAGCATCTTCAATTTCAGGTTCATAACTTTCGAATGTCAGACCTTCTGCACACAGTAGCTCCTAGCTGACACTTGGGATAAGGCAAGATACAGAAAAGGGACGGGTACTGGAGATGGATGTTTTTGACCAAGGAAAGCAGGACAGCAGCCAGGCTGTCCCACGTGCTGCTGTCCCAGGGGCTGTTGTCCTGGGGAGAGTGGTATGTCCCTGTAGGTCCACACATATCAGCCATGTAGTCTCATGTAAGGACATGGATCTTAATTGCAGAGATCTGGATTCATATTCTGGGTCTGCCCCTTATTAGCTGTGTGACGTTAAACAGCACCCCTTTATCTCTGGTCCAGTCCCAAAGAAGAGGATACAATGGGGTCTATGGTCAACTAGGGGCATGTTAGGGACCCCTCAGACTCAGGATAACTGGGTAATTTTGATTGTCTACATGATCAGCATGGGAGCCTCCTATGAAGTTAGTAAGGCACACTTCTTGGTGTGTCTGGCTAAGCCATGGAGGGGTGACCTTGGCGTCTAGTTTGGTCCCAGCCTCTTCCTCTCTAGCTCTTTACCTGTTCTCTGTTTCCTGTCTCTCGTGAGGTGGGTAGCATTCTTCCAGCAGATCTTCCCATCATGATGCTTCTGCCATGGAGCCAGCCAACCATAGCCTGAAATCTCTGGAACTGTGTGAGTCAAAATAAACCTTTTCTTCTGTAAGCTGTGTATGACAAGAACTTTTCCTAGCAATAGAAAACTGACTTGTATAAGGTCAAACAGATACAAGAAAGTGTACCTACTTTTCAGGATCGATTCTTTTCCCCCAAAAGACAGAGTGAGGAAGTACCCCACTGAGTTCATGCATCAGCTAGTTATTTTGCAAATACTGCCTAAACTCAACTGTGTCCAGCCCTGAACCAGAGAAGACAGAGACAATCTCAATCCTGTCCTTGGGCCAGTGGAGTGCAGGTCCTTGCTAGGGAGGCAGAGCCATAACTGCAGGAAAGCAGAAGCCCAGGCGACTCATGGAAAGTTCCCCAAAGAGCCAGTGTTCAACCCTGAGAGGGAGTGGGGTTGTTTAGGTGGAAGCTAAGGAAAGGCAGGAGATGATGACAGAGTGACAGAGTTGAAAGGCAGGACAGCCTCCCTGTGAGTCATTGCTAGCAGGTGATGAATCACAACAGGCAAGCTGAAGTTGGGGCAACAGGGTCCAATCCAAGTCCAAGCAGGGAAACCAGGACCAGGTTTGGTGGCACTGTTGGCTGCCAAGAGATTGGCTTGTGGCATGGGGAGGATGATGCAGTGAGTACTGGGTGGGAGGAGGCTGTGAGGTCCTGTGTGACACACTGAGGACCTGTCCTGTCTGAAAAGAGATGTGGAAGGGTGGCTGTCAGAGGAGGGATCTGTGATGTAGCATCCCAGGGTATGCCCCAGCTGTCACTCCAAGTCTTTATCCCGCCCCCACCCTGTGACAGAATCAGAATTCCAGAGAGCAGCACAAGACCCCAAACAAGGAGCCAGAAAGACAAGGGACCAGCCACTGAGGCTGTGCGCCTGCCAGGGAGATGTCTGCACACCTCAGTGAGCATCTCCAAAGAAACCACAGGAGAGCACATTCTCAGGGTGGGCACTGCCTTTCTGCAGAGTACATTGGGCACCACCCAGTCTGTCCCACAGCCCTGCTCAGGCTGCTTCCTGGAGCCTCAGATAGTGGGAGCTGCCCTAGACTGACCAGTCTCTAATGGGATAAATCCCAGCCCTCAGCTCTGGAGGCCGTGGTGGCTGTGGCACAGGCACCCAGCTGCTGTGTGAGCACTGTCCCACAAACACCAATTTGGGAAGAATTGAATCCCTCTTGTCATTTAAAAATTGTTTTTGCACACACAACAGGATATAGTACAGCCATTTACCACAAAGCTGTCGATCTATATTTATTGACATGGAAAGATGTCCACACATATTGTCAATAAGCACAGCCACTTTATACAACAGCATGTAGAGTCTGCTCTCGCTCATTTAAGCCCTGTGCATATGTGTTTATGATCAGACAGAGGTGGCTACAGAATGTTCCCCGAGGGATATGGGTGGTTGTTTCTGGGAGTGGGAGGATGTCATGTGATTTCTAATTTTCTTCTTGATTCATTTCTGTGCCTGATTTTTATGTTAAACATGTATTATATTTTACCAAAATTCCCCCCCCCCAAATCCTAATGCTATTTAGGCAATTTTACAATGTATAACATGGGCAGAAAGGGGTCTGGTTTTTTTCCAGCCCCTTGCATCTCTTCCTACTCTCTCCACTGCCCCCCTCCCCCAGGTTTCTCTGAGGCCTCCCTGTGGTGAGGTTTTGGAATCTGGGGGCTGGGTTGTAACAGCGCTGTACAATATAGGCATAAGAATCTCTACCTCACAAGGAGGTAACCAGTCAGATTGTGGGGAGGCCCCCTAGGGAAAACCTCATACATACTTGGTGCTGAAGGAAAGCTATGGTGGGTGGAAACCACACTCTAAATAACATACAACTGTAAAGACCCAGGCCTGGCAAGCTGGAAAACACAGCTTTTCATTAGTGTGACAGAAAGATGACCTTAGACACTTGTGCTGCCCGTAACATTGATAACTTTCAGTTAACACTTTTTTCCCCAGTACTGGGGATTGAACCCAGGGTCTTCCATATGCCAGACAAATATTCTGCCACAGAGCTACATCTTCAGCACTTTTTATTTTTAATTTTTTAAAGGTCTTGCTAAGTTTCCCAAGCTGGCCTTGAACTTGAGATTCCCCTGCATCAGCCTCCTGAATAGGTGAGGTTACAGGTGCACTCAACACAATGAGCTAGTTAACATGCATGGTTAACTAATTTGTTTACCTGTCTCTCTAGGGACTGGCAAACTACACCTGAGGGACCATGTTTACCTCAAGCCTGTGGTTATCAAGACCATGTGGCAGAGACCATCTGTGGCCCGTTATAGAAAAAGGTTTTGGAGCCCTTATCCACGCTGTAGTGGATCAGGAGTAGGCACCGGGAGCCTCCCGTGGCAGCCCGACTGCTTCAGAAGGGACAGCTGATGAGAAGAGACACACCTCACAAGCCCAGGCCTGAATTTCTGCCCTTTATAGGGTGCTAACCCTATAAATTTCAGGACACCAAGAGAGATACTATCGCTAAGAGTCTCTGGGAAGAAAGGCAGCAATGTAGGTAAGAGACCTGTGATGCCTGCCGGCCTGGGCCTGAGGTGGAGTTCTGGGGAGGGCAAAGACTTTCAGTTATACAGGAAATCTCCCCTGTGAGTGGAGAACTGTCTCCACTTTCAGAGGTGCACACAGGCCCTAGAGAGATGGCCAGTTAGCCCAGGCCACACTGGTGGTGACAGGAGGACAGGGATCTGAGCCCAGCAGCAAGATCCCATGCGCTGTGTCCCTGCTCTGCCTGGGACAGAGCCTGGGGTGTCCTGGGACAGAGCTGTTGGATACAGGCCCCCAGATTCCTCCTGGAACATCCACGATTCATCCATGTCAAGGGTACCCCTGGGGAACTGTGGGTACCATCAGCCCAAATGCTTATCCATGACCATGAGGTCTGGCCTCTGAGAGAAGTCAGAGGGCACAGGGGCCCATCATCTGGTCTCTGCCAGGAGAGACAGGCTTTATACACTGTGTTGTCTCTTTCTACCTCACACCCACCCACCCCCATAC